GTACCTTCAGAATGTGTTTCAAAAGTGTGACAAATTTTACTAGAATTTGTAATATTTTATTTTTGTTATCTGATAACTATTAGCTTAAACAAAGTCTATAGGTAGATTTTTATTTGTGTTGGTCAAAGACCATATTAAACTTTACTATTAGATCTGCTAGCCCTTAATAGGGCAAGCTCCTGCTGTATAGACATATTTTATATGTCCAGACATTATTATACTCCATATAATTTTAGATATTATGATTACATTTTAGATGTCATCAAACTTTTGTAATTTTAGATGTTATTATATCTTAGGTAAATTGTAGATACTGTTTTACTTATATCTTAGACATGGACTGTTTCATCTGAACTCTACCTATGATTTTGTGCCAGGTCTTATATATGTATCCTAAATATGTATTAAATGTTATCTAAAGATTTCTTAGTTTTAACATAGGTTTGAACATAGGTCACTCATGAACAAATTTCTTGTACTGGTCTAAGACTGTAATAAACTGTGAAAGAAAGAAAGAAAAGAGAAGGTGATAAGTTACTAACATTAGTAGAGAAGAAGACATCATTTGTCATATTTTAAGAGAAGGTGATAAGTTACTAACATTGTTTAGACTTGTGATGAAGGGGGAAGTCATTTCTTTATATATTTCTGTTCTTTTTCCTTACTATATTCTTATCTTTTCTTTCTTTTCTATTTTCTTTTTTTTTCTGCACCTTCTACAATTTTCTTTTTCTTTTTTAAAAGTTTGTATTAGTTTTTTATTGTTGTAGTTGTAATTTTTAATAAAATTACTATTTAAAAAAAAAGATTATGTTTCAAATCACTTTGCCCCTTGAAAGAATGGGTGAGATAGCTGAAGGTCAGAACATGGAAAGAGGTAAGAGCTCCTGCAAATCAGGAAATAGACAGCTTACAAGCTCCACAGAGCTGCAGTATTTCAAAGAAAGTACCAGTTTTACTGTTGTTTCATGTATACTGCAGTTGAGCCAGAAATAGTACAATTTGGATTCAGCTCTTGAATTCAGCTGATACCATGGGATTAAAAAGGTTGAATCACTAACATAAAACATAACATAACATAAAACATAAAAATAAGAAATGCACAGTGAATTATTTATTCTGACATTTTATATGTTATGGTCCTTCCTAACCTAGTTTTACTAACATGGTATCACCAGATATCAGACAAAAGGAACATGGGATATTTTATCATTCTCTTGCCAAAAGCCCTTTCCAGTATTTTGTTTTTTATAATAACTTTATTAATTTTTTAATAAGAAACAGTAAAAACTAACACAAACTAATATTAAGATAAAGGATAAGAAAAAGAAAATTGAAAAAAAGAAGATAGTAAAGATCAAAAGTTCCGAAAAGAAAAGAAAAAGAAATAACAAAAGAAAAAAAGAATTGACTTCTGACCCTCCTTGCAACAGATATAAGTAACAAAATACATCAAACTCTTACTCTAGGTTTACAACTTAACTCCCATTATTTCTATTAACCCATGTTATTTCTAATCATAAAATCCATACATGATT